TCCCACCCTGCTGTTATACTGGAGGACCTCAGCATATCTGGAGGCATCACCCAGAAAACAAGCAGCAACCTTCCTGCTTTCACCCAGGCTCATCCAGGGGACCAACACAATCGTTCCTCCCTGCGTGGCAGCTGATCCCCTGCTGACAGCAGTCTGCAGCTCAAGTGGGAAAAGAGCTCCATGCTCATTCTCTGGTGATGACCCAGCATGCAGGGAGCTCCCATGGGGTTTGTCCTTGCAAGGCGATACAGGGATTTTTCCAGAGTGAGGCAGGAAACAAATGGAAAAGCGAAAGCCTGGATTTTTGTCATTCTATTGCTTCAGTGCAAATCAACCTCTCCAAGGATGGCTTGCAGCAGGTACAGGGGGAGTATCATGAGGTATCACAGGGTGGCCTGCATGTGTTTTCCTCACCTGTGGAACGACTGAGATCCACAAAAATCATACTGAGTCCCACTGACCTGAAGAGCAAACCAGCATCCTTAACAAGGCTCTTGCAAAAAACACCAAGGCTTTGCAACTCATTCACAAGGTGCCTTTTCTCTCCACCAACAGAATGAATTAAATGCTCTTAATGGAGAAAATGATGTGTCCTTCAGCAAGTACAGTAGGTGTGACACGCCTTTAACTGGAGCCAATGAAACAAAGGCTGCCACAAAGAGTAAAGGCTAAGGAATATCCATTCCAACCAGGCTACAAACTGGCAGACCTCACATCACTGGCCAGAAGATAACAACAGAGCCCAGTAGAAACGGCTCCTTCATCCCCTGGGCTAGAGCAAACAAACAGGGAGAGCTGCAGATGTGGGAATGACCATCAGCAGGTTGGGCAACGGCACTGAAATGAATTCGCATCCATCACCTTGCTCATCCCTCCCCACGGTGCTTCACCCCTTTTATGCTCCCCCTGTTCTGTTTCCCTTCATCTTCCTCAATGTCTTCCCTTTCCCACTCCTCGTTTATTAAGGAGGGAGAGGACAGGCCGGCCAGTCCAGCAGAAGTCCTGCTAGCTCTGGATCCACAAGCAGATGTGTGTGCCCTGTGGAAAGACCATTCATCTCAGCGGAGAGCCTGCGGAGGAGGCAGCAGCAGCAGCACAGGGGAGGGGGGGAAGTGTTGGAGGAGGCTGAGAAAAGGAAGGAGGCCGCAGTTAAAAATAGGATAAAAGGACATGAAAAAATGCAGATTTTTTCTTTTTTTTTTAAGGAAAAAAAAAGCAGCTTCTCTTGGAAAATGTGCTGCAGCTGGAGAAGCCATCGGGCCGAGCCTGGTCAGCTTTCACCTTCCCCCTCCTCTCTTCTCCTCCCCAAGCCCCCTTCCTCTGAGCGTGGGCCTGGAAGATGGCCCAGAAAGTGCTCACAGAAAGAGCTTTCCTCCAGGGATCTCCACCAGGTCTCGTGCCTGCGAAGGAGGGGGAAAAGCAGGGAGAGTTCACCATGGATGCATGTGGTCCCCAAGGGACTCCTGCTTGCAGTCCAGGCGGAGCTGAGAGCTGGGACTGAAGGAAGATCACAGCCAGAGTCAGCAGAGTGAGACTATCCCTATGTTGTCTGCATGGGCACAGAGCAGTGCAGCACTGCTTCAGCTACGAGGCTTTGCCTTCCTGCCAAACCCATCACAACACCACTATGGCTGCAGGGACCTGATGTCCATAAGCACCAGTGGGTCAGATGCAGGGGCATACCACCGTCAGAGCTAACAAACCCCAAATATTGTGGGTTTAGAGGTGTCAATAAGCTAATATGTCCAGACAGCATCAGCAATGGATTAGGTGAGGCTGGTCTCCCATAGCACTGGCCTGAGTGTTACTGGGCGTTGTGGATGAGCCTAAGGTGACCCCTTTTATTTCTAACAGTGTCTTGGTGAAAGCAGCCTGGCCCAAATCAGCTGGACTGCTTTCACAGAGGCATCAGACCTGCAGCTCTGATTTCTCCTCTAGAAAAGGCTTTAGTTGAATTTTAATTTCTTGCCTTGCAACTCCCAAAGCCGATCCCATTTGCATCAGTGAAAGCAGGATAACTCCCCCAAATGCTCCTGTAGTGTCCAAAAGGCTGGGAGCACCTTCAGTCCAAGCCTGCTAATACAGTACAACAGAAAAACTTCTTCAGCCAGAGTCACTTCATCCCTTGCTTGCCATTAACAACAGTTTTATCTCCCCTATCACTAAAGAAAACAGACCTGCCCAGAGTGAAAGGGGTTGTCAAAGTGGCCTTGGCTCAAGAAAGCAGCACAGCCAAGACTATGTCCACGCTGAGCTTACAATATCACTATCAAATCTCTTTTTCCACTCCAGTTTATGCCTAACCTTGTATCAGCCAAAAAAATTGTACCAGAGGGTATCATTAGGATACTATTACCTTATGAATTAAGCATATGGCGCTAAGTGTGGCTTTCGGCATCCTTTTGCTTCAGGCAGACACATGGCACCCTTCATTTTGGTCTACTAGATGGTTCAGGTGAGGTACAATGTCCTTAATACTCCTGTTCCCACTGGAGTGGAAGAGAAGAGATACTTCTCATAAACAGGCAGCAGCTCCCTTCTTGTTTTATTTCTACCACCTCTGGGATGTGCCCTTTGCTTGCTGTGGACCCCGTTCAGGTTGATTCTCAGGGCATTAATAGTCCCAACATATAGAGCACAGATCATGGAAGCAAGCTGACAAATAAAAGTGATTCTATACCTTTTCCAAATTAAACAATAACCCTCCAAAACCAACCACCCCTTCTTGTCTTCATCAACGAGCTAAATCCACATCAGGCTTTCCTTTAACCATATCACTGAATAATCTTATCGCACCTCAAGCACAATGTCAATAAACTCACCCAAACTTCAAAGGCAAAATATCTCCTCTAAACGCAAGCAGCTCTTAAACCTTTAGAAATGCTGCAGGTTTCTATTGCAAGAGGATATATTCACACTTGCATTTTCCTTGTTGACTTGGTTCTTTCACCAACATCAAGACCATGAAAACCAAAATAGCCTCTAGTAGACCAGAACTGAGGACAAATGGTTTTAACGCACACCCGAAACACAAAGGAGAAATGAAAGACCGTTCCTAGCGGTATATACAAATGAGAGTTTCCTCTCATTTAAAATTAGAAACTGAAGAAACAACAGTATAAAAAAGAGATCAGAGAAAGAGAACCTTGTGTTGCAACAGCAAGAACTGAAAAGTAATTCTTAGGCAAGAGAACCAGAGGCCTGTCCTACCTGCCCCAATGGACCAAAGGTTTGATTGAAACCTGTTGAAGACAATGGCAGCTTTTTTTTTTACTGGCTTCACTGCGTTTTGAACCAGGCTCCAGCCTCTGCAACAAGAAATTTCACAGAGCCAGCACGGGGTAATGAAGATCTGGGTTGCAGATACGTTGGTCCCTGGAGAGAGCACTTTCACAGAAAAGGGGAGAGGGCAGCAGGAGAAAAAACACAAGGAAAAAACCTTCCAGGCACAGATCTGCAAAACGTTTGAGTAAATCCAAATGCTGCAAGGGCAGATTTCATCAGAGCAGAATTGACATCACCCTGAGAGAGGTCACCCACAGGAGTTGAGCAAATAGCTGAAATGAGAACAGCTGAGAATAGGCAGCAGAGTTCTGCTCCAGCCACAAGCGCAGCGCTCTGCGTCCATCTCCTCCTCACACACAAGTGTTCACCAAAGGAGGAAAAAAACCCCAAATGCTTGAATATTTGCCAAGGAGAGATTTCAAACCGTACATTTGACCGCAACAGTCACTGGTTCTGCTGAACTCTTTAGCTGCAAAAGGTCTCTAAACATCAGGGCTTCTCCCCTCCCAAGGGCCCAATGTGCATAACTAACGAGCCAGGAACAAGTCACAGAAGACCAGCACATGCCATGCAAAAGCTTACATGGGATTTAAGTGCTTCATGATAGGCTTATATGGGACTTAAGTGAAACATAAACTTCATATTGGCCCTTTGCAGAGGTCACAGTCGTGCAACTTGAGCTCTTTCACTCAGTTCTCTTCCATGGCATACCTGAGCCCTCTCCTCACTGCAGTACAGCAGGGCTCTTTGCTGATGCCTCATCACCCATCCCACAGGCAGAAGGACCAGCTGCCTGCCCAACATCTGCTCTGCAAGTTGGTTGTACAAGAAGCAGCCCAAACTGCAAACTCAGCTTGAAGATTCACCGGTTGAACAACGCACGGGGCAAGAATTAGTCACCAGTGATTTTGTAACGACTTTCAAACCATGAATACATTAGAGAAAACAAGCCTCTAGTCCGAGTCAGGGAACTGCACATTGCAACCACACAGCATGGCGTGACCACACATCTTCAGCTGTCATTACCTGAAGATCATGCCACCACCCTCCCGTGGAGGAAGGCAATGAGCTATTAAGAGCGAGGCATCCAAAATCACTACCACAGCAGAAATAAGACCCAGGAGTCCTCAGCATCTTGCAACACTCCATGAAGGCCACTTTCCAAAGCCACATCAGCCCTACTAATGGCATGAGAAACGCTGAAGATGCAATCAGCATGCTAGCATGTCCACCTTGCCTCCCATGGTATTTTCCCATGTCTTTAAAGACCCCAGGGAGCAGCAACCAGGGCTGCAGTCAATAATACCAGACTTGGTGCACACAGGACATCAAAATCACCAGCCAAAAGAGGAGGGGGGTTCTTCCAGCTGAACACCCACGCTATGGCAAGGACTAGGGGTCCTTCAGCATTTCTCAGACAAGAGTACAATAAACAAACCAGCTTTAAAGTTTTTATCTGCTTTCTGGCCCCATGTCCACTGAGGGAGACCCTTGGCAGCCAGCAACACATGTGCCAATGTGGTGATGCTGTGGTAGCTGCCCTATGGCAATAAATGAAGTCAGGACTGGGCCAGAAAGGAAGGAGACAAGGGGAACAGGCTGGACAACAAACAAGAGCACAGTGGGCCTTTGAGGCTTGTGTTTTCACCTAAACATGCTGCTGGGCCCCACAGGGTGGAAAGGTGCCACACATCCATCCCGGTATGGTGTCCTACCTGTGCTGTAGTGCTCCAGGCCGGTGGGCACCTCTTGTGTGGCAGGTTCATCCCAGAGCGGGCAGCACATCCTGGGCTGGCAGCAGGTGGACTGAAAGCCACAGGTCACCCAAGGATCATCACAGGGGCCGGAAGCACCTTGCTTCTGGGAGCAGGAGAGGGAAAGACATCAATGCAGCTCATACCCCTCACAAATCAGGCACAAAGCCCTCAGCCAGCAGTGTTTGCTCAGAAGGAATAGCATCATCCAAACACACTTGGATGAGCGGTGTCTTGACGGGGCTAAAAAGCCCCTTTTATAAACAAATGTGAGGAAACAAAGATAAAGGGGATGGCAGCATATTTATATAAACATATTTATTATTACATCTTATATTGTATTATTATATGCTTACTCATAATCCATCGTATCTCTATGATGTATTGATTACATGTGTGATATAGTCATGTATATACCCACATACGTAATACTAGGTTATAACTGTCATTATACATTATACATGTTTCTTTTTATTGCATAGGGTTATATATACACCTTATAAACAAAACACATGGATTATATGTACTAGCATATATGGGTATATGAAAACAATCCCAGGATATAATCTTATTTTATACATGTGTATTTTATACATATGAAATATGTGTGTGTATAGAGCTGATATACATATTTACTATGTATACATAAATGTATATATGTATAATATATATGGTACATATAAGAGTTTGTATGAAAGGATAATATATACATATACTACACTATAACATATACTATAAAAACTCAGGCTGTTTTCATTTATTATTAGTATTATTTCCCTGCAGGGAAATAGATTTCCTTCATTTCCAATCGATCCTTAAAAGCCAAATGCATGCTTGGAATCATTTAAAGGGAAGATTCTGAGCTGCGTTTGAAATATTCCATGTGTCAGCATGCTCTTTTCTTCTTCATTTGGAAGAAAATCCTGCTTTCTAGCAAGTCTTTGCGCAGCCTGATGTCTCAGCTCAGAGTTACAGCTTTCATCTGACCTTGTTTAGTACCTTTAGCACTGTTCAGCATGTCTTTGGACAAATGCCTATTAATGTGATTTCTCTACACAAGGGCCTAATGTCTAAATACGGGTTGAAACACTGTAAGACCTGTCCCATAGCTGATGGCAGTCAGCACAGGCATGCCCTGGATCTAACACATATTATACATAACCCCTGCTCCACAGACAGAAAGGAGTTCAGAAGAGCTCCAGAAAACCAGCTGAAACCTTTCCAAAGCCTGATCTGCTTTGTGCTGATCCCACTCCATTCATCCACAGCAGGTGAAGGTCAGCGTGGGGAGCGGAGGCACTGGGACAATGGTTACCCCTAACAATCCTGCTCTAAACACAAGCGCAGGAAATCCGATGCGGTGATCCTGTTTCCAGTGGAGGTTTGCAAGCTCGAGAGGTTCAGATAAGCTCTGGGTAAACACTCAGTGTTTGGGCGCTGCTCTGAGCAACATAAAACCTTGGAGTATTTAGCAGTCGACACCAAGCTGTGTCAGCGAATGGGCTGGCAAAGTCACAGCAACCAAAGAGAAAACCCACTCCTAGGGGTAGGAAAATAACCCCAATTCCTTTCTTACCATCACTCCAGGGCGAGGTAAAGGGTAAGGGGCTGGGTTGCCGATGGTTGTGTCCATATAGTAACTCATCATCTTGGAAGTGCCTGCAGAAATGGAAATAGACATTAGATACCCTACTGCATAAAGCATACAGATTGATAGCATCAGCTAAATCTGTGCTTTCTAACACATATAAAGCTAGGAGCAGGCTGTCATCTTAATGAGTTTAAGCTGGAAAAGTTAAGAGGAAAAATAGCTGTATTAATAGCAGATATTGTGATTAGATGTGTTGTATCAACAGTGCAAACACACAGATCCATTAGTGTAAACTGATGAGAGCCTGACAATGGTGAATGAATTATCACCTGGAAGCTGATGGTGCTGCTGTGAGGGAAGATGAGATCATATTTCCTTTGCTGTGGAATCAGTGGGGAATTGTTGCCAGTTTCTTTTCTTTTGAGATAATATATATAAAAAGGCAAGCCAGTTTGTTGAGATCAACACCTTTCCTGTAAAAGTTTACTCAAAACCAGTCCTTTTCACAAAGGACTTCAGTGTCTCCAAACCACTTCTGTTTTCCTGCATTAGCTTACATTCCTCTTGCTAAAGCTCGCTCTTGCATTGCTGAGGTGTATTCCTGTGTTCACTAAGTAGCCATCTCAGCCCACGGGAGCATGTCACAGCTTCACATGTCATTCCTAGGATGGGGTGTTCTCCTCTGAGCGAGTCCTTCTACCAATGCTCTTCATTAGATGTGACTTTTAATCATCCACCAGCTTGTTTCTGTAGCTGAGGTGAAGGAGGTGCCAACTGGCTCTGTTTTCAAGTACACAGATGTTTTTCCCCCTTCTCCTTCAAACGCACAGTGTAAATGCAGGGCCAATGCACTTTTTGTGTTTTGCTGAATAGACTTAAAGGTGCTGGGAGGAAAGAGTCAAGAGGGAGTAGCCTGAGCTCAGAAGGATATAACCTGGAGCCAAAGGGAACAGCTATTTTAATCACGCTGATACAGGGCATAACCTGCAATATGGAAGAGTTGCCACTGCTTTAACCTCTCTGAGGACACAACAGCCCCAAAACAGTTCCCTTTTGATTCCTGCAGAGCCTCTGGGGTTAGCAAACCCCCTGCAAATGGCAGAGCCTGCCTCAGCTGTGCCACACTCACTGCTTCAGCAACCTGGGACTCAGGGGAGCAGCTCCCGCCGCGCTCCGTGACTAATGGCCAAATGTGAAACACCTGCATGTGTATGCGTATGAAATTGTTATCATCATTTCCTGCTTGTTATTACTAACTCCTGCCCTATCACCCAGTCTGTTTCTCTTTGCACTTAGAGCGAAAACCAACCATATCACAAGTTGCTGTGGCTGAGAAGCCTTAACTAATCTCAGCATCTGTGCACACCCTACCAGCCTGCTCTAAGGAGGTGTTAAAACACATTTGCTCTAAATCTGCTTGCATCTGCAGCATCCAGCGGCTTGGTAGAGTAAAGAAAGTGCTTGGAGCTTGGAAACTCAGCTAATGAAGAGCAAGACACTCAGTCCCAGTCCATCACACACCTATCCCCTGATCCTAACCTTAAACTAGTGTAAATCACCTCATATAAACATGAAATTATTTCCCTCTTAGAGACTAGTGCTGCCAAACTGCACCAAAACAAGGCAGACACTGCAGAAGAGAAACAGAGAAATCTCCAGGCTCATTCACCTATTTCAGTGCCACACACGCATCTGAGAGTAAGGAGTTATAGCATTAAAACAGCAGTTAAACCAGCAGCCCCCGCCAGCAGCTTTTTCCTGCTTTGCAGCTTGTGCAATAGGCAGCTGAGGTTTGTTGGTTGTTTCTCTCCCTTTGATCAAGACACCAAAGTCACACCAGTTGTTGAGAAGCACTTTCATGCCTCGCTGAGTGGTGTTTGCATCTTTCTCAGGGTGCAGCTGAACCTTCCAGCAAAGAGCCACACGTTGGTGCACGAAGCAGCATGTGCTTCGGTGACAGGAGAAGCACTAAACCCATCCTGACACCTGGAAGAAGGCTTCATGCAATAAAGAGCATCACTAAGATAGTCTTACACTGTCTAAAGGGGGCTACAAGAAAGCTGGAGAGGGGCTCCTGTCAAAGGAAGGGAAGGGGGGATGGCTTTAAATTGACATCCTGTGTTTCCATTCTATAATTCCATTAAGATTGTAAGAGCATCACCCACAACCTCCTCCTGAGTCCTGGAAAAGGAGAATTACCATCTCCAATAGTTTTATAACAAGGACAGCTTGCTTTTGGGTTTCTCTTCCCCTGCAAGCTGTACTGTTAAAAAGCACAAGTGAGGATCAGAAATACAATGCAAGCCTCTACAACCATTTGCAGCACTGAGGCAAGCCCAACTTACACGCAAGATGAATCAGTCCTCCAACCTGCTGCAGGTTTTGTGGGTGATGACGGTTAAACAGCAGAGAAACACAGGTTTTAGGCTGTGAAAAGGGCCTGGAAGACAAGCCCTGCTAGAAAAAAGGCAAGCAAGCAGATTCTAGGCACAAAATAATCATGCTCTGGAAAAAGCAGGTATGCAAGGCCAGCACCAGGAGGCAAGATGACAGCAGAAAGGGAGCTCCGCGGTGCTTTGTCCAGGCTAATTTTAACAGAACTTCCACCACTTCCCATAGGAAACTACTTCACAGCCCAATACATCTCTCACTGTCAGCAAGTTTCCCTGATGTTTGAGTGATATTTTTCTTCTCTTTAGCTTCCTCTAATAAGAGCCTAAATAGTTGTTCTCCTCCCCTTGGCCACCATTAGATAGCTCTAATGACCACTCAGGAGCTTGCAGCTGAACTAAATTCAATGATAGCTCTCTTCATGGCAGGTAACTTGGCTGATATTAAGGAAATCACTGCAGATTGACACCAAGATAATCAAGATCCACAGCTTGCTGAGAGCTGTTAATAAATAGAGGGGAATCAGAGCCATTTGGTAAAATCCTTAATGATTTAACAGCTTGACTTCAGACTTATTGTTTGCTCTTATTATTCCTGCCTTATTGTGAAAACATGTGTGGGAGAGAAGCAGCATTTATTTTGGGACCTGATCAAGTACCAGCCAAAGCTATTAGACTCTTGGGCCATTTCTAAACTAAATTAAATTTTTAATTTCATTTCAACATCCTTCCCTTCTCTTTTACAAGGGATATATCTGTTTTTTAAACAAATTACCAAGCTTAGGTTGAAAAGGGAGAAGCGTTTATCCTCCCGATTGACACACACTCCCATGCAGAAGTTAGGAAGAAATTAAAAACATGTATTAAAGCAAAGCAAACTTTGTCTACTGGATATATGAAGACCCTTAACAATATTCTCATATAGTGCTTATGTTGTTTTAATGATGAGGAAAAGGGAGTGAGACCAGAATAACTTCCCTGTTGCAAACTCAAGGCCAGAAGCTCCATCTCTCTTGCCCATTCTACTGCTCTGTAATGGGTCTCCTCTATCTGTTGTAAAATCCTGTGGCTCGGATTGCTCCCCAGTTTCAACACACAGCTTCTGCCCATCCCAGATCTCAGAGCCAACCAGTAAATACAGGTATCACTGCAGGTTGGTACAACTGGGGTGGCAGCAAAACAGCATCTGGACACTTTTCTCCATCGCAATAAACCAACAAGATTCCATAGGATTAGATGGAAAGCATTAGCAACCCCATCAAATATATTTCTGACTTCAAGAAGGTGAATCAAGACTTTAAGAATGAGAAGCAGCGCTTTCAACATGAGCATCCTCCCTGAGTGGCTGCGCTGGCAGCTCCCTGACCCAAAGCTGCTTAGTGATAGGCACTTTATTTTTACATCAAGTAATAATTTATCATGCTTAGGGGGGTTGGAAATGACATCCTTCCGCAAGGCTTTAACCCTTGAAATCCTGGCACTTTCCAGGCTGCCTGCCAGTTCAGTCCTCAGGGGAAAGAGTGTTTGTTGGTCTGTTGGCATGTTAAAAACCTCATTCAATTCATCAAACGCTAGCACCAGCTTAAAATAAAAGAAGCATCCCTAAACTGGGGACATGAGGAATAGAAATGAGCATTCTTCTCTTGCTGCCTCTTTACAACCTATGCTTTTTAACAGACTGGCCATCCCCCATCTCTGTTTCATACCAGGGGTCCCACATTTAAGATTTTAAAACTTCGCAGTGTTCTCAAAGGTAACACCTGATGTACTGAAGGCAAACCAGGCAGGGCAGTAAATAGTGATGCTATGGTAAAGAGAGCAATATAGTAATTGCTCTTCTGCACCCTCTGTAAATACTCCATGAGATGAAATGACTTGGCTAAGGTCATAGGCAGAAAGCGAGGGTGAAAGGTGAGTATCTGAGCTCCCCAGCCACTCTCTTAACTACACAGCACTGATTGCATTCAGATTAGCATTGCCATAAGGAGGTTGTCCGCGCTGTTTGTGGGGATGATGCAGGTAACAGGGGCAGGGCAGGCTGCCTGTCAGCACACCACTCACTGCTTTAATGCTGGGCTCTTCCTTTCCTCAGTAGCTGTCAGATCTGAAGGAGATACGATGGTACTTTAGGTGCCTTCCCATTTGGCTGCATGAAATCTAGCCAGGATGGATGACAGTGGTCATGAGACAGTGCCCTGACAGTTAAACTTTGGACCAGTCCCACATACACACGTGCCCACAAGCCCTTGTTCTCTGTGCTTGGTAGTAAACATCTTTTTGCTCTATGTTTTCCTTTACCCTGCTCATTAATCTATTACTCAGCTGCTATTTTATAACTAAGCTAAAATAACACCACCATCAACAGCACCACCACATCCATAGCGATGGGCTATGGCAAGGAGAGGGGTTTAGGTGGGAGATCAGCCAAAGAGGCTGTTGCCATTAAACCCTGCTGCTCTCTCTTGGATCATAACACCTACTTGCAATTGCAGGAAGATGTGAATGGGTGTGTGTGTGTGGGGGGGTTAATTAGGTCATCTGTTATTTCACTCTTGAATGTCTCTCTATGAAATAACAGTCTTGTACGAGCCAGATCCTCAGTGGGGGCAAAGCAAAGGGGGGGAGAGATGGATAAGTTTCCCATTGCTTAGCAATGGACCCCTTGCATCAGGGAAGGATAAGACCCAGCAAGGAGAGCCCTAACTGCCCTGTGGCAAAGGAGGCTTGGTCAGGGATTATGGCCCAGCAGAAAGTAGTTTACATGGCAAGCAGGGGAAAGCTTAAAACCCACCCAAATTAGAGGCATCAGGAATAGCCTGTAAGCAGGAAACTGCTCTGGACCCAGCCCACAGCCCCCAAAGGTGTCAGCTGACAGCACAGGATGGAAAGTCTATGGTAACTGTGCTACCAAGTGAGCAGCCACATGCAAAGCAATGATTTAGAGGCTAATGAGAAGGGTGAAGGCCTTGGCTGTGCTCTTCAGGGACTCACAATTCCCACTGGCTCTTTTTGGCTGGATGAGGGGGGCAGGATCGTGCCTTTCCCAAGGAATGGCAGCAGCACAGCAGCACATCCCTGTGGCTGTCACACTTAGGGCTCCAGTTCCTCCCAAAAGCAAATGCTGGCACCTGTGGCACATTCTGCCCTTTGGGGGCTGGCATTGCTATGGAAAACATGCTGAGATGCGGCAGCAAACGCCTTACAAGCATCCCCCCAAAGGCAGAAATCAGAACCCGGTTTGAGGGGCTACACCTTCCCTATCTGTCTGTGCATAGGGCTGGAGGGAGTGGAGCGAGCATCCGACTTTGCTTCTCCCCCTGCCCAGCAAGGAAAACGAACCAACCCCCTTTCAAATCAAAGTGCAACTCGAAACATGAAAGGAACTGCACTCCTAATCCATGGTAATAATGCCAGGGCACAGCCTTCTAGATGAGGAAAATAATTATGTTCTCTTAAACATGCATATACAATTTATAGACTGTTTATATATAAAAAGAGAAGGGATTTTTAAAGGGAAGCATCAGCTCAGACATTTATAGAAGCTCCTGCAGTACTCTTAGCAAACACATGAATCAGTTGCAGGGTGAAACTGGAAATGGAGAGAGTAAATCACCAGCAAAACAAGTCTTAGCTGTCCTGAAAACAAACCCAGGTACCTACAACCCACACAAGAGCTTAAAGAGATTCTCTCCCACCGCCACTTACTACTTAGCTGCAAGATCAGGGGGAAAGTTTATGTCCTCCACAGCTTCCCACACTTGTCTCCGATCTCTTTCCAACTACCTGGTGTTATCCTCTGCGCTGGAGCTGGAGAGGATGGAAATACCATAGTGTTTGCAGCAGGGCCGCCTATTCAAAGGGAGGGGGAGTGGTCAGCTCCGCATCCAGGGCGGTGGGAAAGGCGAGCTCCACTCTGGAGCCATCGCCAGCCAGGAAAATCCACCTCTGGCCGATGGCATGCCAGGGGGAAGATTAAAGCTGTTGGAGGGAGGTGGTTATGGGGGGAGCCTGCTGTTAGCCCCAGTGCTGTGGCCTTTGGGTCTGTGCTCCCCTGCGTCCTGTAAAGCAATCTGAGTAACTTCACAAGTGTTGCGCCAGCCCCTGAAGTCCCTGTGAAGTGGTGATTATTCCTGCACAACTAAAACCAAAGCACACAGGACATGACCAGGGTGAGGTTTATCTAGCCCTACTAACCCATGTTATGATTCCCCAACCTCAGCTCAGCTGCTGCTTCTGAGGCTAATGGTAGAAAATGCTGTTTCCTCCTAAAAAGCCCCTGGATACCTCAGTGTTTTCTGCTCTCCTTGCATATCCCAGGGCATTGCTGGCTCCAAAGCACTGTGCTCTCTGCTGCCTGCATTACCCCCAGTCCTGGGATGGATCCAGCCTGGCAGCATACCCAAAACCCCCTTATCACAAGCCTCTGGTACCAGGCATACCACCCCAACACCCACCCTTGATAGCTGCTGCGTGCTTTTAAAAGCATAAAGGCTGAAGCAAACTCCCCTTCTATAAGGCACAAGGGAGGAGGGGAGATGCTCAGGCAGTGCTGGGAGGCACTGGTTCATCTCCTTCCTCTGATGGAGACAATAATCCCAACCTGCATCACCCCAAAGGCTGCTTTCAACACAGATGCTAAAGGAGGAGGCCAGGGGCTCTCTAGAGAAGGGGAGGCTGCTGGGACCAGAAGGGCAGATGAGTGCTTTCCCAGCTGGGCTGGAAAAGGGAAGAGGGCAGAAACACAGATTGCAGTGGGCTCACTCCAAAACCCTCCGGGTAAGCCACCCACTCCACTCCGGGAGTGCAGGACCCTCTCCCAACACCTAACATCCTCACAGCAGGGCCAGGGACCTCCGCATCCCCATCAATACCCGCCGATCCTGGATGCAGGAGGACATGCCCATCCTGCCTCTCCTGCTCTGCCTCTCCAGGCAGTAAAGCTGCCTTTTCCTCCAGGAGAGGGCTCCAGGCTGAAAATCCTCTCTGGCTGCAGCACAGATCCCTGTCACGCCGCCTTCGTGAGCAACCCCTGCCAGCAGCCCCAGGAGGGAGGCGAAGCCCAAACACCAAGGGTTGCAGATGTGCTGTTCTGGGACATTTTGTTTATGGGCAAAATGGGAGGCTGGGAACAGCTGCTGTGATTCCCCCTTGAAATCCTAATGGCAAGCTGTAATGTTGCAGCAAAACACGTGAACACAGCCATGGGACTCAGGCCTTCCCTGGCTTTCAGGGAAGATTGCAGCATCCTCACAATTAACAAAAGCAGCATGTACATCTAAGCCCTGTTACTGGAGCACTGATTGTCTGGGGAGAGAAATAACTCCTGGGGACACCCTTCCCCAGGCCAAAACTGGGCATTTTGGATGCACATTGGCAAAGTGCAGACCAAAGCTGTATTCGCTCTCACGTGGTTGATTTCTGCCTGCACAGGGCTTCTTAGGCATCTACTGCTTCCAAATGCTTCCCAGAGAAATCAAATGTGCAGAACTAGTGTTCACAAGGCATAAAGGTCTCTCCTGTTCTTCACACCCCCCAGTCCAACACATTGCTCATATGCACATGGTGACAAATAATAAGAACCCCAAATATTTATGCACATAAAACTGTTAACAGATCCTTTGAGGATTTTCTCCTAAATGAAGGATGACTTTCTCCTCTAGCCCTTACCTTAACTTAGAAGCACACAGCTACAGGTGACCCAAATAGATGTTACCTGTTGACTTGCAGCCATAAGGCACGGATGGCTCTTGTAGCTATTTTAACACAGGAAATGATTTACAGGGTTCCCATCTTCTCGGGAAGGTTTCCAGCCTCCTTGGGCTTTGGTACAAAGGCTCGGTCACGTCTGAGCACCAAAGGGGTGGAATGCATCCAGCAATCCATTTTTATCTGGGCAACTCTTCCCTAGGCTCCAGGATAACCCCACTGGCAGCTGCAACCAAGATGTCTTTCCCTGGGCTGGATGCTTTGCTCTGCAGCAGACGGCTCTTCCGATACAGTAATCTATATATTAATAGCCTCTCTATTATGGCTGTCCAATGGACTGTGTGTCTGCAGAATGAGAGGCTTCTGGTTTGGGCTGTTTCTTATAAGGCAGCATGATGTCTGCTGCGTGCAGATCACCTCCCTCAGCTCGCACATGGCCGCCTGCTTTCAGGGTCACTGCTGTCCCATCAGTCACCTAAACCGGTCGCTTTAGCTCCCAATAGAAAGTTGGGCTGAGTTTCGGGTAGCTCATGGAATTCATCATAAAGCCATTGTGCTTCGAGAAGTACTTTCCATTCCAGATGGTTTGGATTTTCTTTGTACTTGTAAAAAAATTAAATGATTCCTTAATGCTGAACTTAAGCAGTTATTAGTATTTTTACTGAATCTGAGGTGTCCTGTGGATGTTCCACAGGTTGTGCGTTGGTAGGCTGCTTAAATTCAGGGGCACGTGGCCACACAGCCTCCTTCTGGGAGGTGCTGGACATAAGTGTCAGCAGGAACAGCCCCTTTCCCAATAAACTACCCATATCACCATTTAGGACTAGAGGAGTGGATGGAAAATGAGAGCAGCATCGTGCTGAAAGTGGCTATGACTGCACAGGGTCATGGTTTGCATCCTGGTGCTGAGCACAAATCTCCTGGGCAAAATTCAATGGAACCAGAGTTTCACTGACTGTCCCCTATCACCTCATAGCCCCCAGATGACTTCCCAGGGATGGATCCTGCAGACCTGTGGTCCTGCTAGAGGATCACAAGACACTAAAGGTGCGACTCTGCATGTAATAAGCTTCCACATCTCTTTATGGATCTGTAAGTATCATCATTTCCATATTACAGTGGAAAAACAGAGCAAGAACTGATAAAATGACCCTGAGTGCCTGAATCTATCTGCTTTTAGTTGGTGTTGCATGCTGACCCCTGTAGAAGGGAGCAAAAGAAAGGGATCTTGATTTGCAGGGATACCTTCCCAGCCTCTGTTTGTCCTGAGAAGGGGTGATACAGCCAGATCAATGAGCTGCCTGGGCGTGTAAATACCATGGCAGGTTTGTCCAGGCTGCAGCACCATTGCCTCCTGCCCCTCCTCAAAATCAAGGCAGTGACACGCAGCCTGTGTCCCAGATGTTTCAGCAATGGTCCACCAAGAGCTGTGCACATCTGGTCTCCAGGTGCTGAGGCTCTCTGTTGCTGGCTAGTCTCAAAAGCAAACTATAGGCACCACCAGAGCTCCAGCCAGCAGGTCAGGGATGGACACCCAATTAATTGCCACCTTGTATGCAGCCCAAAGGTGCTGCTTGTCCTCTTGAAGTCAAGGGGAAACCTCTGTCCTCAAAGGCAAGACAATAAGAGTTTATGTAGAATCACAGAATCCCACATTGGTTTGGGTTGGAAGGGGCTTTAAAGCTCATTCAGCTTCAACCCCTATCACAGCAGGGACACTTTCCACTGGAGCAGCTTGCTCCAAGCCCCTGTGTCCAACCTGGCCTTGAGCACTGCCAAGGCTGAGGCAGCCACAGCTTCTCTGGGCACCCTGTGCCAGCGCCTCAGCACCCTCACAGAAGAACTTCCTAATGTCTCATCTAATTCCCCCCTCTGTCTGTTTAAATCCCTTCCCCCTTGTCCTGCCTAAATTCATTCCATCCTTGGGTCAGGCAGGAGCTCTGATCAGTCATCATGGATGTGACATGATGGATGCACACAGTCAGTGACAGTCAGTGAAACTCAGATATACACTAAAAGAGAAGTAGTTCAGGGTCTATGGCAGCTCAAAACTGGTCCACACATGACTTTTGTGAGGCTATATTAGGTTAGAGGCTGCTACAGTTAAATCCCCTTCATATGGATTGAGTTAATTGCTATAAACTCGCCCATACGTGGTTTATCTCATTCTATAAGGGGTACGAGAGCAGTACAGAAACAGGCTTTAAATAACAAACGTCTGAAGACGACAGACTGGCTTGGGTGTGATACTATGTGCAGAAAAATTCCCTCCTTCAGCTTTGTGTTTTCGCTTTTAGTCCATACACATGCCTATAAATACATATATGAGTATATGTAGGATAACCCACAATAACACCAAGTCACATCCATCTTCTCATTGTGGAAGTGAGGGATTTCCACTTAGCTCTAACTCTGATGTTAAGCAACATCTCTGGGGAAGTTGTAGCCATAACATTGCCACTTTGAGCCCTTAAAATGCAGATCTGTGAATTTTACCTTGTAAGCACACCCAAAAACTCATCCTTCTTCTAAAAGCCAGTGTGAATATCACCATTGTGACCTCCTCACTCCCACCATTAACAGGGGAGGGATGCACAGGAACTCCTGAAAACCATAAGAAAAAGGTAAATCAATTACAATTCATGAAGGTATTAGATGTAAAATCAGTCATCAAAGACCAGTTTCCCATTTCAAGAAAAATGAGGCCTGTTGCTTGGGAGGAGGAGCTTTTATTAGGCCGCCTGATACACTCAGAAGAAAAAGCAGAGAGGATTTCATCACATAGCCCCTCTTCAGATCTGTGAATTCAAATCCTCATCCCCAATCATTTAATATGAGACTATAAAGCCAGATTTCAGAAGTGCTCTTTTCCCAGGCAAGCGTATAAATAAAGATCAGATACACAAAACTGCTCTCAGCTAACAATTCCTGCTCAAACACATCTGGCCTGATTTCAAAACCAATTCAGCAGCCAGTTAATCACTTGCTCTTTATTACTTAACTTACTATTAGCACTGGGGGTAAAAAAAGAGAGATATTTTGGTTTTCTTTTATCTGGTCACAGATTCCCTGCATCTTGCTGCAGTGAAATTCAAAAGGCTGATCAAAATCTTGACAGTTT